TCTGGGGTGAAGGTGAGACGCTTTGCCCATGGGGCGGGGTGTCTGCCTCCTGGACAGCCCTAGTTCTCATCAGCTCAGCGGGGACAGCGTTGCGTTTGATTAGACGGTTGCTGGGAGACCTGAGGCCGGGCGGAGGAGGGGCCACAGAACCTTTAGAGCCTGGAGGGAGGGGCCCTTCCATCCCAAACTGGCCCCTCCCCCAACCCCAAGAAGACGGAGAGCAGAAAGGGGGCGGGAGAAGAGAAGCCAGGCCCTCACATCTCCCACCACCACTGATTTCCCTCTTCTCTGGCATTTTAAGAGCTCAGACTCAAACCCTTCAAGGGCTTTTGAAACAATTAGATTAGCAAGTGCCCAGAGCTCAGTCTAATAGCTTAAAAGCCACTTCAGGCTCCAACGGACCCAGAGTAAAGCCTGGGGGTGGGGTGGGGAGAGACCCGAGAGGCACTGTCGCCCTGCTTCCCAGGCCTTTCTTGGTGACCAAGGGCTGGGCCACAGGTCATGCCAAAAAGGGACCTTCGATTGTCCCCATGGGCAGAGCCACTGTAATCTCTCTGTCCCTTGCCCACCCCACCCCTAGAGAACCCTCACACTTAACCCTTCTCTCATACACCTGCTCGTGCAAATCCCAGCATCCTTGGGGTGGGGGTGGGGGGTCAGGGCAGGTGTGTCCACAACCACTTTTGAGAGTTAGAAACTGACTGGCCCAAGGTCAGCAGGTCCAGAAGGGTCAGAGGCGGCCTTGAGGTGTCTGGCTCAAAGATGACGCTGCTCCTCTGGGATCTTTTGTGATTTGGGCCTGAGGGTCTTTTGCAATCTCTAAGTAAGTTCCACCTCTCCATCTTCCTGCTTACTCTTCCCCCCAATCCTGGTTTCTGTATCAAATTCCTCTCTCTGGCCCAAGACATTGCCATGCTCCCTATCAGGTAGGGTCACATCTTCCCAGGAGCCTTCGAGCTCTTCCCTAATTTGGCCTGACCTCACCTTAGCTCCAGCCCACCTCTTACCCTCTACTCCTCCACCATCCAAATGAAGACACCCATTTATGTGCCCAGCACCAGGCCAAGTGGTGGGGACATTGGGATGAATAAGTCATGGACACTGCTCTCAGGTGACACGATCTAGTTGGAACATAGAAATATAAAGAGATTAATTTCTTTGCCAAATATTTGTTGAGTACCTGCTAGGTACCAGGTGATCTTCTAGGCTCCAGGGACATCAAGGAAAACAAAATAGAACAAGGCCCCACACTCATGGAGCTTATATGGTGGAAGGAGAAACAGGAAGCAACATATAAGCCAAGAGATATATCATCTGCCAGGTAGAGATGAGTGAGTGAAGGGAAAAAAAGCAGCAGGGAAGAGAAGGATCTCGGAGGTGGGGACATTTGAGCAGAGACCCGAGGGAAGGGTGGGAACAGCCTGTGCAAAGGTCCTGAGGCAGGGGTGCCTGTGTGTTCAAGGAGGAACAAGAGGCCAGTGTGACTGGAGAAGAATGCATGAGGGGAAGAGATGAGGAGATGAGTCAGAAGGAACAGGGGCCAGACCATGAGGGGTTCTGTAGTCTCAGTGAGGTCTTTGGATTCTAGAGTGAGATGGGAGCCATTAGGGATATTGAGCAGGGAGTGACATAAGCAAACATATGTTTTACAAGGCTCACTCTGGCTACTGGTGTAGGACAGCCTGGAATGGGGGCAAGAGTAGAAGCAGGGAGACTAGTTAGGGGGCTACTGCCACAGTCCAGGCAAAAGATGGTGATGGTTGGTGTTGGGTGGTTGTTGGGGTATTGGGAAGTGGTCAGATAGATAGATAGGTAAATAGATATTTATTTATTTTATTATTTTTTTTTTTGAGGAAGATTCGCTCTGAGCTAATGTCTGCTGCCAATCCTCCTCTTTTGGCTTAGGAAGACTGGCCCTGAGCTAACATCTGTGCCCATCTTCCTCTACTTTATATGTAGGACACCTGCCACAGCATGGCTTGATGAGTGGTGCGTAAGTCCGTTCCCAGGATCTGAGAACAGGTGAAACAATTAGATTGAGTCAAACCCTGGGCCACTGAAACTGAGCATGTGAACTTAACCACTGTGCCACCGGACAGGCCCCTAGAGATAGCTTTAGTACAGCATAGACGCTCTATTATGAGCACACAAGTCAGGGATGCCTGGCGGACCTGGAGGTGGGGCTGGGCTGTTGACAAGAAAGGATTGCGGAGGTTTGATCACAGAACTGAATCTTAAATGAGGAGGAATTGGTCCAGACAGGAGATGGGAGATGGGCCAGAGGGGACAGGAAGCGCTGAGGTGCGTGCTTCACGTGTTACAGGGAGCTGGGAGCAGCACAGCCGGGCCAGAGCGTCATTTAGAGGCTAGGAGTAGTGTGGGCAGGGGCTGGAGCGGATGGGGGGGCTGGCCCCCAAGGGCCGGGAGCCAAGTGGAAGAGTTTGGGCTTCCTTCTGTGGGCAGTAGGGAGCCACAGAGGGTGTCAGGCCTGACCGCATCCTAATCTGATTTGTGCTGGAGAAAGATCTCTCTGGCTGTGGAGAAGGTGGGTGGGGAACTGGCAGGACTGGGGGCTGGGAGGCCATCATGAGGCTGTCGCAGTGATCCGGTGGCAGGTGAGAGTGGACTGGACCACAGCAGCCGTGATGGGGTTTGAAGAACTGTTTAGAAAGGAAAGTGGCCAGGAGGTTCAGACGCTGGCTGATTGGATAAAAGGATTAGAAAACAGAGGAATAGAGAGGGACCCACGTTCAGCTCCAGCACCCTTGGACCAGATACGAGGGGCCCCCACTTCAGGACCTCTTCCAGCGCTCCTCACAAGGCAAGGAGTCTACAGAGCCCACCGGGAGCCCCACTCCTCGCAGGTCACTCTCCACATGCCCGCAACCTCGGAATTCTCTTATGCAGGACCTGTGCGGGCTGCCTCCACAGTTCCACCCTCCAGTGAGAAGCGTGCCATGCTGCAGGCCGAGGGCGGGCATGTGCACAGAGCTTGGGTGTGCAGACCGTGGGTCCACCGTGAGAGCTCTTGAAGCCCTTCTTAGCTGGAGGTGAAGCCTGGGGTGGGAAGAGAAAGGAGGCAGGCTCGGGGCAGGGACTAGGGGAGCCCAGAGGCAGTTTCTCCTTGTGTTGCCCTGTGCAGAACTCCAGGAAGCCGGAGAACTCGAAATGGGAACGTGGCCTTCCAGATCTTCAGAAGGTGTATGTGTCAGCATAGGAGAATGGAACACATTTTATTTAACAGTTTGTTAACTTGATTTATAACTTTTTAAATATTTAGACATATGGAATGCGGGCCTCCATTTGTACTTTTGCCCGTCCAGGAGGAGCAGTGGAAAACCCCCAGGGCCAGGATTATGTCTTATTAGCCTTGTTCACCCTCCCTCCCCCCACCCCACCCGGGGCTCCCTGGGCCTTGGTCATGTCCATCAAACTGGAAAGAGAATCAGATCCCAGCCTGACCGTGGGAGCTGTGGACTTGATGTGGCCCCTGGGGAAAGGCGAGTCAGGTGACTGACTGCGGAGGCCTTTGGATGGTGCGGCTGGGGCAGGGGAGGACGGACCGGGGCCCACAGGGTTAAGAGCAGAACTGAGGCACGCAGACTGCCAGGGGTTCAAAGCCCAGCTCTGCTCTTTGGGACTGCGTGGCCCCGGGCAGGTTGTTGCATCCTGCAGGGCTTCAGCGGCAATCCCTAATTGCCCCACCTCACAGGTACTGGGGGAAGATGCGGCGGGCATGTGGTAAGCTCTATGAAACATCTGCTATTACTATCACATAAAGTGGCCCGTTCAAGGGAACTTTCAAGCTAAGGGGCAGCTCCTGGCAAATCAAGGAAGGAGTCCCAAGTTGGTTTTGGTGCTGGATCTTTCTCTTCCCTCTTGCAGGACTTCCCCGTGGAGGGCCACTCAGTGATCCGGCTGTCCCTCCCAGGGCCCCCCGCCTCCCCCCGCCCCCCAGCCTCCAGGTGCCCCTCCCCCGACCCCCCCAGCCCCAGGGCTGTCTGCTGTTTCAGGTAACTCCCTCTGTTCTCTGCCTCTTCAAGCAACACCTCTCCATCCTCTCATTCCCTGGAGGCCTTGCAAGCAACTCACTTGCTTACTCTGGAGGCCCCTGTTCACAGGAAGATGCCCGTGGGCAAGAATGGGCCCAGCACTGTGCAGAGTGCCCTAGACACGTGGGCTCTTCAATCCTTTTAATAATCCTATGAGCATCCTATGAACGTAATCCTGTTTCAGACACTATTATCCCTATTTTGCATGTGAGGAGACTGGAGCAGAGAGAGGTTAAGTAACTTGCCCAGGAGTTCTCAGCGGATAAGGTACAGAGCCAGGACTAGTACCCAAGAATGTGTGGCCGCAGTCCATGCCTTCCCGTCGGGAATCCGGCCTTATTCCCAGCTCCTGTGACACGCCTGTCTCCTGGAGTTTAGACCTACTGGAGACAAGGCCCTGTCCCAGACGAGGCACGCCCATGGCGGGTTGTAGGCACTTAGCAGGACGACGGTGGGTTGATGTTCTGGTTTGTTGGGGAGAGGAAGTTCCTTTGGTTTCCCTCAGATTATAGCTGAGGACCTTCCAGGCAGAAATACAAACAAGCAAACAAACAGAACAGCCGTCTCTCTGCAAGGGCCCTGGGCTCTGAGTGGGTCTGGAAAGGAAGGACTTTGTGTGCTGGAAATTCTGAGGCTTGCTTTGGCCGTGTGGGTTCCAGTGGAGGGGACTCCTCCACTCTGACCCTGTTTTAGCCCCACAGCCTGTCTCTACTGGGGACCCCAGAGGCAAGCTGCTGACAGGCTCCTTGGAAAGCTGCCCGACTTGGGGAGCAAAAGCCCCTGACATGACACTCAGCCATCACTTGCGTTTTTTTTTTTTTTTAAAGATTGGCACCTGAGCTAACATCTGTTGCCAATCTCTTTTTCTTTTCTTCTCCCCAAAGCCCCCCAGTACATAGTTGTATATTTTAGTTGTGGGTCCTTCTAGCTGTGGCATGTGGGACACCGCTTCAGCGTGGCTTGATGAGTGGTGCCATGTTTGTGCCCAGGATCTGAACCAGCGAAATCCCAGGCCGCCAAAGCAGAGCGCGCAAACTTAATCACTCGGCCATGCGGCCGGCCCCCATCATTTGCTTTTGAGTGAAGACAGAGACATTTGATTCTGGCCCCTGCCCTCCAGAGCTTACAATCTCATAGGAGGATGGGCATATACACCAGGGGAGTTTCATGTGGAAAGATCACCAGCTGAGGCCTGCCTTCTGGTCCAGACGTGAATTCGTTGTGTGACCTTGGGCAAGTCACTTACCCTCTCTGATCTTGGTTTCTCGTCCATAAAATGAGAAAGCTAGGGTTAATCACTGGGTTAAACCTTGGTTTTTCCTCTTAGCAATGGGACCTGTCATTCCAACAAAATCCAACACAGGACTCTGCCCAAAAAGTAGAGCTGCTCTGCTTCTGAGAAGTGGGGAGCCCACTCTGGCTTCTTTCTCTTCTTTTCCGATAATTGCTCTCAGTGTCTCTGATTGTAAGGCCTGAACCACACTGAGAAAGCTCAGGACAGCTTCCGTGGAGGAAGTTGGGTGGATTCAAAGGCTAGAAGGATTTTGATGCATAGAGGGGTGGAGCGGGCACACCAGGTGGGAAGTAGGATGTGAGAAAAGATGCAGACACAGAGACAATAGGCAGGGTCTATGCTGGCACAGAGGCAGCCTGGCTGGACCAGGAGTCCTACAGGAGAAGAGTGGACAGAGCCCAAGGAAGGGGTTCCCAGGTGGTATCCGTGGGGACTTCACAGGAGCATCGAGGGGCAATGATTATGTCTGCAGGCTCCTTCCTACGGGAGGGCGTGGTGTGCCCTGCTGTGAGCGGATGGGGAAGAACCAGCTCCAAGGAAATAGTAAGAATAATAGTGTCCCCTTCAGAGGGTTGTTTGAGGGTGAAATTAGTTCCTGTGCCTAAGGCCCCAGAACAGCGCCTGGCAGGCGAAAAGCACTGTAACAAGCCTTTGTTACACACATTCAGACCAGAGTGCACCCTGAGGCAGCCAAAGTGGTGCATCCTTCCTGGCTTCTGGCCTAGCATTGGTAGTGATGGCCTAGAATTCGCTAGCTTCTATGCTCAACAATTATGGTGATTATGAGATGTGTATGTGCCTGTGTGTTGGGGGCGGGGGGTGGGGAGTGTTGCTGCAGGTGTCCTTCTGCAGCTCCCTGACACACACACACTTCCTCCCTCAGTCCTTCCTCTGTTGCTGGGGTGCTCCTGGCCACCGTCCCACCCTCCAGAGCCCCTGATTTCCTTCCCCGCCCGCTGTTCCAAGCCCACACCTTGCTCTCAGCCTCCTCCCTCCCCTCTCCCTCAGCCCCTGGCCCTCTCACTCACCATAAATCTGAAACTCTGGAGTGTGTGTGTGTGTGTTGGGGGGCCGGGGTGGGGGGGAGCCGGTGGAAAACCAGCAAACCAAACCAACCCCAGCTAATGAAAACGGCGATAAATCTCTGTCTATCAGGTTTGTTGTGAGCACAAACATTGCCAAACAAGGGCCCAGATGGCTTGCAGGCCCTCCTCCCCCGGCCTGCAGAGCTTTAAATGGAGATGGTTGCTTTCTACATCTATTTACTACTCGGAGATGGGGGATGATTGAGTCCAGGGTGCCTGGCCAGGAAACAGGGGACAGGCCTGGTGGGAACCCTCTGCGCCCCATACCTGAGCAGGACTCCTCCAGCCAGTCCCCGACCTCCCCCATCCCTGCTCCTGGAGACAGCTAGGGAGAAGCCCCCTCTGACAGAGCCAGAGGGGGGAGGGGAGGGAAAAGACAGCCCCTGGGCTGATGATATTCAGCCCTCCACAGCCCAGCCTCGACCTGCTCCAATTACCAGACACACACCCGTGGGCAGCCAGCCCCAGATCCCCACTGTTGCTTGCAAAGTCCTTCACCCCCTGCCCAGAACTTTCCATCCGGCCAGTTAAAGCAGGCTCTGCCTTCAAGCCCAAGCCAAGCCCCACCTCCTCCAGGAAGTCTCCCCACCCCTAGTTAGTCCTCCTGGACCTCTCCGGGCTCAATTCCTACAGCCCTGGCCCCTGGGAGACACGTGGTCATTATGGGACGGCTGCTTTGGAGGTGGACAGGGCTTCACCACTAAGCTGAGGGACCTGGTGCAGGTTAATCTGTCAACCTCAGTTTCTTACTCCGTAAAATAGGTATAATTATGGGATGGTCATGAGGATTAAATGAAGTGAGTATAGAATGTGCTTAGCAAAGAGAGGGGCACAGTCTAAGAGCTGTGTGTGTGTCAGCATCTATCATAGGTGCCACACAGTCACGACTGGACAGCACACTTCTCCGTGCCCTGTCTTTTCACAGAGACATGCATGCAGGTGAGTGTGTGGGTGGGGGGGGGCGGGGGGGAGGGAGGTCCTAGTTTGGGTCCCCTGGAAACAGACCTGGAGACAAGAACTTGCGCGCAGGTAGTTTATTTGGAAGGTGGTCCCTGGAAGCTGGAGGGAGGGAATGGGGAGGGAGAAAAGGGTGGTTAATGAGCGAGTTGCTGTGGCAATGGGGCTCGCTGAAGAACACAGGGGAGGACATATCTTAGAACTGTCCCTTGGAGGGCTGAAGCAGCCAGGGTATTTATCCACCCACTCGCGTCCCTCATTAGTTGAGGGTTGACCCTGGGGCTGTAAGTGCCTGGCACTTCCCAGCCGCCCTATGGGCTGAGTAGAGCTCCCTTGGGCCCAGCCCTGGAGGAACTATGCAGGTGGGAGGCAGAAAGGCTCCTTGGGGTGGACAATCCCACCACTACCCCCTTGCCATCACAGCTGCGGCTGAACTACGAGGCAGCCCCAGAGGATGAGGGGGAGGTGTCATAACATCCTCTGCTGAACTCTTCTCTTTTCTATCCCTGCAGCGTCCAGGGCAGCATTTTACTCTCAGTGGGCACACCATAATTATTTGTGGACCAAAAAGAGGTATGGGCTAAGAGCTGGGAAAATCTAGATTCTCCCCACTGCTCAGTTTTTAACTCATTGTGTGATGCTGAGCAAGACATATGACCACTCTGGGCCTCATCAGCTCCTTCTGTAAAATTGGGACATTGCCACCTTCTCTGATTTTCCCATAGCCCTGTCATGGTAAGCTGGAATGGTCTTTCAGGAGTGCTCAGAACAGGTAAGGTGTGGCTGTGATGTGTGGGCGGGGGAGGTTTCCCTACCTGGGTGTTAGCCAAGCCAGAGGTGCCCAGTGGCACACTATTCACACACGCTCTGGGGTCAGAACACACAGGTGTGTTCTTCTGGGCTCTCTCCTGTATCTTCCTATCCTGTGACAACCGCAACGGCCAAGGATCAAGAAAGAAAAGAACAAAGGGCTTTGAATCGCTGACTCCTCGGTGGAAAGAATCCCAAAGGATCCAAGGGAATCCAGTGGGATGCTCGGTGGTTCCTTATTTCTGGTCGGTAGTGGGGTTTGCCAATGGCTGGCAAATGTAGAAACCATTAGTACGGAAATTTTTTTTTTTTGGTGAGGACGACTAGCCCTGAGCTAACATCTGCTGCCTATCCTCCTCTTTTTGCAGAGGACCTAACAACCTGAGCTAACATCCTGGCCCTGAGCTAACATCCGTGCCCATCTTCCTCTACTTTATACATGGGACACTTGCCACAGCATGGCTTGACAAGTGGTGTGTAGGTCTGCGCCCGGGATCCAAACCAGGGAACCCCAGGCGACCGAAGCGGAACATGAAAACTTAACCGCTGTGCCACCGGGCCGGCCCAGTACAGAAATTCCTAACTTGGGGGTCTGGGAATCCCTGGGATGCCCATGGATACGCTTTAAGAGCCCCGAAATCTCTTGAAAATACATGTAAAATTGAGCGTGTGAGTATATGTGTGCACATGAACTGCTGTAAGTTGGTAATCTGGAGCTTCCAGCAAATTCTCAAAGGGGCCTGTGACCCAAGAAAAGTAGATTTGCCCTACCCCAAATCTCCCATCTGAAAGGGGAGGATACTGAGGCCAAGAGAGGGGACATGAACTGCTGGGTCACATTAGGGGACAGATGAAACCCAGGGTCCCTCAGCTTGTGTGGCTGTGTGGGTCACTTCGGTCTGCACAACCTGAAAGGCAGGCCTGGCTCCCCAGGAGGCTGTGTGAGAGGCCACAGCACAGTACCATCTCTCCTTGCTCCTGGAGAGACATCTCAAAGGCACGATGTTCCCTGGGGGTGAGGGTGGGTGCTGAGGTCTGTTCCCACGGAAAACAGAACAAGAGAAAACCAGACCAAAACTGGAAACGAAAGGAAGTCCCTGTCACCGAGAAGCTTGGGCACATTAGCTGGCCTCAGTTTCCAGATGTGGAAATGGAAATGATAATAATGCTTACATGTCTAAGTCGTGGGGAAGATTAAAGGTGATCAAGTGAGCGGAAACAGCTTACAAAAAGGAAGCTGTACACAAATGCTGGTGACAATCACTACAGTGGAGGCCTGGTGAATATTGTTGGCTGCTGGGAGGAAATTGTGGACCACCTGCATTACCCTATTCTGGACAACTATGAAATTCTCCTGCAGGCCCTTGCAGCCTAAGAGGCCTGGTTTTGGAGTCAAACCTGAACTACATCTCAGTTCCACCACGGGTGCATGTGTGTGACCTTGGACAAATCACTTAACCTCTCTGGGCCTCAGATTGTTCATCTGCAAAGTGGGGACACACACCTACCTGATTGGGACATTATGAGGATTTGATGAGTTAGTGCAAATGAAAATGCCTGTAACGGTGACTGGCATATAAAAGCGCTCAATAAACATTATCATTATTTTTTGTTCCTGTTCCTTGCCAATCGTAACTTCAAGCAGTTTATTTGTTCCTTGTGAAGTTTCTGTCTCCCCACATCTCTGTGTTCTCCGCTGGCACGTAAGTTCTGTAGCTTAAGGACAAGCTTGTTTTGTTTACAGTTGTATCCCTCAGCCTGGCACACAGTATGCAGCAGATATTAGTTAAATGAATGAGTGGAAATACACAGTCCGTTTTTAAGGATGAGAAGGCACTCTGACAATGTGAGAACACTCGTCAGTCTGGACCAGTCCCAAGAGGGACCCGGAGCTGTGCCAAGAGTCCTTTAGGGGTCAAGAGAGTTGGCCTCTGGTCCTAGCTTAACTGCTGAACTGCTTCGGCCAAGTCGCTGGCCCTCTCTGGGCCTCTGTGTGCTTCCTCCAAAAGCGTGGGAGCCCTGAGATTCCAGGGCTTCCCCCTTAGAGGCTGGCCTCCAAGGAGCTCCGACCAGATGGGGAGTGTGGGATTTCGGAATAATTCAGCCACTTAATTAATGAAGCGGAAGGAGAAGTGGGAGAGAATAAAGGCGGGGGTGGGGAGGGGGGGGATGGGGGATGGGGAATCCAATCCTGGAAGAAAAGTCAACACCGGGCTGCGGCGCTTGCCAGCTGCGGGTGGGAGTGGATTTGGGAAAGCCACGCTGGGCCAAAGCGCCGAGCGGCTGCGCGCGCCCCGGGAGCGTGTCTCCTCCGCGGCGTGTGCGCCCGGGCCTCGGCCCGCCCCTCCCTTCCTCGCGCGCCTCGCCAGTTCCCGCCGCCACTGACTTTCTGACTTCTTAACTTGTCAGCAAATCCCAGAGTTAAAAATGCACACGCACCCCGGCCAGCCGCCAGCAGGGCCGTCTGGCCGCGGCTCCAGATGTGGGGCCACCGCGCCGGCCGCCCGCCCCGCCGCGCAGACTAAACAATCGGCCTTGGCCGTGAGCGCAGCGCAATTCCAGATGCCGCGTCCCTCGCGCCGCGCGCTAATTGGGCCGCGGGCGCGAGGCTCTGTCAGCGCGGGCAAGGCCCTGCCGGGGGCGGCCTTGGCCCGGGGCCCGTCCGCCGAACTACCTAGGGCGGGGGCGGGGTGGGGGGGAGAGGGGAGGGAGGGCGAGGCAAAGAGAGAGAAAGAGAGTCAGAGACAGGGACGCACGAAGAGAGGCAGACAGAAAGAGAGACGTTCTCAAAAGGAGACAGACAGCTGCAGAGATAAAGGGAGAACCAGAACCACTGAGCCCTAGTCAGATTTAGGAGAAAGACACAGAAAAGAGGGAGAGACACAGCCAGAGATGGAGAGACTTTCGGAAACAGAGGCAGGGCAGAGCGGAGGAGAACAGAATAAGAGGCTCAAAGGCTACAAGGAGTAAGCGCGGACGGGCCGGGGAGCACCCGCCCAGGAGACCCACATGGCACCGCCGGGTCGCTGCCGCGTTACGGGTGTCCACCCCTCCAGTTTTACAGAGCTTCCTTCTCACGTTCTCACTTTTTAGAATTCTTGCTAGACCCCGGCGAACCTGGGGCTGGGTCCGCCCGCAGGAGGAGCCTGGGCGACTGCGCGGAGGAAGAGCCCTCGCCCCCAGAGGAACCTGAGCCATCGAGAGTTCAGCCCCAATCCTGGCTTGGAGACCTGGCCGCTGCGGGCAGGTGCGGGACGGGGCTCTGCGGGGCTTTGCCTCGAGGCAGGAGGATGCCCCGAAGGACTCCTGCAGGGCCCCTCCTCCACCAGGCAGCCAGCCGGCGGCACCCTCCTTCCCCTGGCGCCCTGGGACCTCGTCAGCCCCGGAGACAGGGGGATGGCAGGTTAGCCGAGGCCCAGAGCAGGGAAGTCCACCGGGGACCACCCGGAGGAGCCCCCCCCGCTTCGCGTTGCGCCCCCGCCGGGAGGCCCGGGCGCCCCGGGGGTGAGCGCGGAGGGCAGTGCGGCGGCCCGGCGGCTCTTGGCGGCCCCTCTCTGACAATCTTTCCTTTGTTTGTTTTCTTAAATCTGGGAGGCCCGAATTCCTGCCGGATTCCGTAGGTTTCACTCAGGAAGGAGGCGCCCCCACCCCCACCCGCTCTCCCGTCGGGCCGGGCTGCCGGGGAAGGCAGGTTGTTCCCGGAGGCCCGCGGCGCGCAGCCCTGGCCCCGGGCTGGGGAGCGGGCGCCCGGCGCGCCGGAGAGTCCCGGGCGCCCTGCCCGCGCGCGCCACCGCGCAGCCCCGCCGAGGGCCACGGCAGCCTCCGCCGAGAAAACTTAAAAAAAAACAAAAAACCAAACCAGGAAAGTTTTAAAAGACACAAAGAGCAACCCTCCCCCCACCCCAACCTCATTCCACACCCCTCTACCTCTCACACTCCCCCCGCCCCCTATTTTTTTTATTTTTGGTCTCCAAACTTGAGCCTCATTAATTTCCAAAAAAAATTTCCCCCAATAAAAGGCAAACATGGAAAGAAAAACAAACTATTAGAAAATAGAGGAGGGAGGAAATGTTATTTAAAAGGTTAGCAGACCGCATCATTTTCCAATGATATTATATACTCCCAGCAGTATCCAAAATATATATGGGCCCTGGGCCAAGAATGTAAAAAAAAAAAAAAAAAAACTTGAAAAAACCCTCACTTAGACACAACATCTGGACCTGGGAGCGAACAAACCCCCCATTTATCACACTTAATCCTCCAATGAAGCAATCGACAGTTGACTTCTGTTTTGCTAATTTAGCTGCTTTCAAGTGCCGGCCCAGTCCAGACCGGGAATTCAGTGTCACTTGCGGAGGGCCTGCCCTGCCCCCGCCCGGCTTCGCTCCCTGGGCCCGGCCCTCGGGCCGTCGGATCGGGAAGAAAGACCATTAAAGAAGAAAGAAACGTTTTATGGATTCCCTTTACCCCCACCCACTCAGGTCAATGAAAACCTCGACTCTGACCTTCGTCTGCCCCCTCGCCCAGCACCCTGACACCCATTTCCTTGGTGACACTTCCCACCCGCTCGCTGCCTCCCCCCTCAGACTCGGGGAGCAATGGCATCAGTCGGCACAAACGCCAGCAGCTCCAGGCAGTCACCCTGCTCACCGGCTGCTCTTCAGGTTGACTAGGTGCTGCCAGCCTCCTGCCTGGCACTGCGGCGTGGCCTGGCACCTTGACCCTCACCCTGGGAGAGGGAAGCGGCGGGAGGGTAGTGGTGCTTGGCAGAGGGGAGCCTCCATCCCCCGCTCCCCCCGGAAGTGGATGGGAAGCAGGAGGCCCCGAGGTGGAGGCCCTGGGCCAGCAGCTTCCGGAGACAATGGGGTCTTGTGAGGGCGCAAGCAAGCGGGAGAGAGAATAAATCAGAGAGAGTATATCATTTGAGGATTAGTCAATAAATCCCTGGGACCCTGGCCCAGTGGGGCTGGTGCCAGAGGCATGGCTGGCTGGGAGTGCAGACTTCCTTCCTCCCCAACTTTCTCTTCCCCTCCCCAGAGGCCTCCATGGGTCTCTCCTGGCCTCTCTCTGTCCATCTCTTAGTCTCTGTGGCTCCTCTCCCAGACTTTGGATCCCACGGCACAGCCTTTTGTCATTCCCCTCCCTTGTCGCTGGGGACAGTTGTACAAGGGGGCAGGGAAGGTTGCTGGCTGGGAGCACCTGCAAACAGAAGAGGCTGGAGAATGTGCCCACTCCTCTTCACTCAGATCCAGCCTACCCGCCAGGCCTGGCAAAGGCCCCAGGAACAGCCTACACTCCCAAAAGAGGCCTCCAGCACCCCCAATCCCAGTCCTCTACAGGCTCTCCTGACAGCCTGGCTGGGCCTCGGACTTCTTGGGGGAGAGACCCCGAGTTTCGGCCCCAATCCAGATGCAGTCCCAA